TTTATCTGCACTCATCTGTCCCAGCTACTAGTTGCTCTACTTATTTAACCTCCTCTAACCCAGAGGAGTTCAAAGAGGTTAAATAGTTTTCCACAGAGTAACCTAGATTACAAGGCAGAGCATTTAGTAGTAAGAGCATCCACCAGCCTTTAAGGCCTGTGTTTAAATGCTAGCAATAATACCTAAAGCAGCAAGTTGTTTAAAACCCTCTAGTTCCAGTTTCTTCCTCTAGGAAAAGAGCTGAATAAACTTCCCTTTCGGGATTGGCTGACACAATTAGACCTAGTGTTTAGAAAGCGGCTAAGGAAAGTCTGATGGCCATTTCAACAAATGGTGGTTATTGGTAGAAGTAACAGAAATAGTAGAAACGGGTGTAAAAATTGCTGGCATCTTCCCCTTGTCTTTGAACTCCCCATCTTGTCCCCACACCATTTATATCGCATTGGTTTGCCTTATTGGAAGATATGGTTCGAATTATACATTCTGAGTAAAACTTAACATTTGTTGATAATATAGAAGTATACACTCTTCAATTATGGGAGCCAATTAGTAAGATCACATGAAAGAGACATTTGAGTTGGAATCCAATGATTTATATTTGACTCCTGGCTTCATAACTGGGAAATTTACATCCTACAGCAACTTACCTGACCTTCTGAGTTGTAGATACCTCATCTGTTAAACAAGTATGAGGGGTGGGAGCTAGGGGAGAGTGTTTTGAAGATGACTTTGGGTAATATTTTTGTTTTGTAAGGTATTTTATATATTGTAAAGCTTTTTACAAAGAAAGTTCTATTATCATTCGGTCCTTAGGCATATTTTTATGTGCTCAATTTATTCCTTAAACTTATTTTCAGTTATGGAATGGAAAAACCAGGAAAGCATTCAAATTTCCCTCCAAGGTATTTGAGCTCATACCTTGGGACCCAATTCAGCGAAGCGTATCTAAATCAGTTGCCTTATGTTCTTGGGCTACCAACCAAGAATATAGTCAAATAATGGTGACCAACTTCAAATGCTGCTGTACCAAAAGACTGATCTACTGAGGGCTGTGCAGGAAGGGAAGGACAGGACTGCAAACATAATTTACCTATGGATGAGCCATAAAATACAACATTACCTAAGATAAAGTGCCCCCCTCACTCCCCCCCAAATATAAGCCAGTCCTAGTCATTTGTTCAGAAGAAAAGAAAAGAACAATGAACATTTACTAACACCATTGTCATTGTCTCAGGGGAGGATGCTAACTTTGAATGCCTACATTGTATCAGGCTGGAAGAGGTCCTCACAGGAGCCCTGAGGTTTCATTATTATTACCTTCATGTTACAGGTAGGAAGGGACTGGAGTTTAGAATGATTATGCAACTCGTCCCAAATCACACACCTAGTAAATGGCAGAGTGAGAATTGGAGGTAGATCTGTTTGAAGTGAATACATTAGACTTCTTTGAACTTATTGGGGTACTTACTGAGGGAAAAGTATCCCAGCTGAATGGCTCTTCTATTGTCTACATTCCAAAGTAAAATTAATGTTCCTAAAAGAAAGAGGAAGGAAGTTATAGAATTTCGATAAAGGGACATCTGAAAACCCATTTAAGGCATCCTGTCCCTCTGCCTGATGGGTGAATCCTTCTACAGCAGCTGGTCTAGGTCACAGTGACAGGGAAGGTTATAAGGTTCTTACATACCCAGAGCGAATTGTGGGAGACTGTAGCGTCCAACAATTCCAGCCCGATTGGATCTCCTCACTTAGGTCAGAGAGCCCATCCCTAACTCCTCTCTCGTGAAACGCATCATGTCTGACATGCATCTTCTCCCCACTCCTTTCAACTGCTTCCCAAAGGGTGAGAGATGTGAATGCCTTCCTCATGGCTCTCTTGTGGGTGATTGCTCCACCCACCATGGTCCCTCTAGGCCTAGCTTTTCTGAATTTCTTCCAACATCTGCTGGTGACATAAAAATCTGCCAAAGCAGTGGGCGGTTTCCCCAGCTTCCTCTTACAACCCTCCGAAGGATTCACAAATGTGAAAAACGTTGTGATATGACAACCTGCATGGTTTTTTTGTTTGTTTGTTTGTTTTGCAGTACGCGGGCCTCTCACTGTTGTGGCCTCTGTCATTGCGGAGCACAGGCTCCGGACGCGCAGGCTCAGCGGCCATAGCTCACGGGCCCAGCCGCTCCGCGGCATGTGGCATCTTCCCGGACTGGGGCACAAACCTGTGTCCCCTGCATCGGCAGGTGGACTCTCAACCACTGCGCCACCAGGGAAGCCCCAGCCTGCATGTTTTGACCTGTGTAGAATTTAGCAACTGTTGCTTATAAGGAAAATATTTATAGCCTCATTTTTTTTAATGCAAAAAAGAAAACAAATTGCAAATATTTTGTTGATTTTTTAAATCAAGTAAATGGAAATATGCTCTCCTTATAAAAAAAACATTTTAAATATAATATTCCTCTCAGAACTGTATTTAGTTTATGTCCTTAAGTATGCATATTTATCTGTATGAACTCCCAGAAAAAAATACACTTTGATCTTTTGTGTTTTAAAAAATAAATGAAGTACACTCATGATAGAAAAAAATATGCCACAATTAAAATGAAAGATGTAGACATCTAGGTAGTGATATATAAAGGTCTCTAAGCCTTGTAGTTCAGGAATAAAAACCAAGCTGCAGAACAATACATGCCATATTTGCTGCCTTAGTATTTCTAAGTGTGGGTTTCTAGACCTAAATCAAAGCGGCACTCTGACTGTTGAAACCACTGTGGCTTTCAAATTGTAAAGTCTCAACCAACACCTCATAGTAATAGATATCCCAATAGACGACGATCCACAGATCGATGGCAAATAAAGACTCCTACTCTTTTCCTCACTTTTGTAATCCTGGCCAAGGCACTCTATTTATTTGTCTCCCTAAAATTTAACATTTATTTCTCGACATCTCTGGGAGATATACAGAACAAAAAGAAGTGGTCCCTAATCTATTGGAGTTACAATCTATTCGGGGTAGAGAAAATACCACATAAAAATTTAAACAATGCAAACTAGTGTGTGGTTCATCGCCAGCTTTGATACAGCTGCTTGAAACTGAGGAGAGTTATTAGTTAGATCCATTAGACAATAACTAGCTTGTCTAGGTATTAGAAAATTGTAATCTGTCTTCACTTTGTTCTTGCAAAATTGCATACCCACCAAGCTTTACATAGCTTAGACAAGGTACCACAAGACTCACTTCACCACCCCCCATAAATAGTACCTCTGGCATACGAGCCTTAAGGTGTGTGCCCAAGTTGTTTTTCAGGAACAAGGAGTCACCTCTCATCCAGTTCAAACCTGTTGAGACCACCCTCACCTGGGCCTGCTCAAGTGTCTGATAGGTGACCTTTTGACATCAGAGGGCCAAAAACTCCACCCTCAGAACATACTAATGCCACAATTTTCTGAACATGTGTCCCATGAAGAAACACGAAGCTCATTTTTACCTGCGCAGAACGACAGTTACTTCACCTTTTTCCTACCTCCAATCACCTTCCCCCAAGTCTCAGACCACCCTGTTTCTTTATCCCTTAAATATCCCAAGCCCCTCGCCTTTGAGGAGGCAGATTTGAAACTTGTTCTTCTCTCTTCTTGCTTGACTGCTTCACGAAGAAACCTTTTCTTTGACGCAAACCTTGGTGTCTCAGCGTTTGACTTGGTGCCCATCGGGCAAATAAACCTGATTCGGTAACATAATGAATTGAGAAAGCGGGGGCTGTCTGTAGACTAGACTAGACTAGAGGTGATTCCTATAATCCAGAAATAGATAAGAATCGTTAGGGGTTGATGAATGATCTGGGTAGCCCATCTACCCGGTAATTCAACAAGGTCTTAATTGGCATCGTACACCGTGTCAAGAACCAGTATTCTCTATGTGTTGTGCAACATTTCACCTGGCCTGACTAATGAAAACTAAGTGCATTTGGAATGGAAATGACATATATGTAGATGAAGTGTTTGATGAGCTCTTTTGCAACCCTGATCTATGTAAACAAACACAAATAAAGGAAGAAAAACATCACTCAGTTAGCCTATCCAGGAGCAAGGTTTGAAAATGAAGATCCTTTTACCACTGACCTTTCTGGTTTTTATTAGTTCTCCAGGTTGGACAATAGAGAGGCACTACTACATAGGCATTAGAGAAACTACTTGGAATTATGCTCCTACTGGTAAATATATGCTCATTGTAATGCCTATTTCAGAAGATCAGTAAGTAATACCTTCACACTGAAAAAGCAGCTATCAGAAGCAAACGTTGATAATTATTATTCACTGATAAAATGCTGCTAAAGAATTTTCCATGATTGACCGTTTCAGGGCACATTTGCTATTAGAACCGCTTCCTTTGAATTTTTAGTATAAGCATGACATGGAAGACAGCTATTAATATAAATCAGAAATTGCTCCTTCCTGGGATTATTGCCACTCTTGCCCTCATGATGCATACTTCAGGGATTATCTCTAATTCTGTATTTATCATCGATTTTGTTTGAGTGGTGCTTAAGATGTAAAACAACGCTTTTCCTTCCCATATGGAGTCTATGGCAGAGATTGTAAAATTGCAGCTCTCTTCTTGATTTCTCTGTTCAGATCATTGGGACGAGGGAATCTAGAGGTTATGAGTCGGGTTCTGATTTACTCTGCTTGTGCGCCAAATTGCCCCCAATTCTACCAACAAATCCACGAATCATTGAAATGTGTAAACAATCTTAACTTGTAGGAATTGATCTGATGCTTGAGAGCTAAAATAACCACAGGGTAGGGTTAGAAACCTTTCGTGGTTCAGTACAAAGAATTTGGTAAGTCATTTAAACCGAAATACCATGTATATTACTTGCTACATTTGCATTTGATCTCTTCACCAGAACTTCCAAACTTCTCCTTGCCTACTACCCTGTTTTTGACTCCTTCTAGATTTTCACCAGTGTCTGGGTTTGCTCTATAAAATTAGGCTGTAACGCTTCTTACTTCTAGTTTCAGTAGATTTAACACTGTTTTCTTTCAAGTCAAACATTGTTCAAGTTCTTGTTTGTTTGTTTGTTTACAGAGAGTTTCAGTCCCAAACATATCTAAAACAAAGCCAAGATAGGATAGGACCTGTTTATAAAAAGGCTTTGTATTTTGAGTACACGGATGATACATTTCAAACGATCATTGAAAAACCATCCTGGTTGGGATTTTTAGGTCCAATCATGAAAGCAGAGACTGGAGACGTCATTTGTGTACATGTGAAAAATTTTGCTTCAAGAAACTATAGTTTCCATCCTCACGGAATCAACTCCACTAAAGAAAACGAAGGTAAGTGGGTCCCCTTTCCTTAGATTCCTGAGTTTTGCTTGTGAAGAGCATGAGACCAAAACCTCAGGAAAAGCAAGGTAATCGTGAACTAGGAGTAGTTTGGGGTGAATGTAGACTTTTACTTCAGATGTCTTTAATTTTTGTATCCCAGATTGTTCTGTAATTTCTCATTTGAAATGAGTAGACCCTTCTCCCTGCACCCAGTGCAATTTCTGGAAAAGAAAACACACTTTTCTCGTATGTAAATAAATAACTAATTGGGGGATGGATAGGAGACACTCATGAGCTAAATGTTAGGTTGGCAGAAATATTGTTCTGCCTTCATCTCATTTCCATTTCCTAGCGAATGAGGATTAGCTTCTTGGAAAACACCACTGTCAGGTGAAGTCACTATTTTCCAGACAGTAAGTATCTTCTCCCCTAAACATTCACACTCACAGCTGCCTGATGGTGTTGGAAAAAGGAAGGGAAGAGAAAGCTACCAAATAGGGTTTTGTGTTCAACATGGAGCAAGGTCGTCTCAAGAGATGATAAATGATAGGTTGGTCACCCTTCAAAGTCTTCTGTTGAATGAAGGAATGTTACCTATAATTATCAGATTCCAGCTTCCGGAGGTGGAGATCTGAAGCCAGATTCTAGGAGAGGAAGGAAAAAAAGAGAGCAAGACGCCAGCTTCAGACTAAGGTAGTAGCTCAGTATAATATCAGCTATGCAGAAGGCCACTTCCCGATGCCTGTGGGCAGCTTGTGGATGACATGGAAGCTCTTGAGGCCCTGGGTTCCAAAGTCTGATTTGCAGTATAGAACATACGGAGGGCAACTCAGGATCCTAGCTCTCTGTATCCAAGATCTAGTACATAGTAGGTACACAGTAAATATCTGTGGAATCTATCAATAAAGGTGATGCTAGTCTGTTAATATGCTGCCTGACTCATTCCAGTTTAGTCTGGAAACTGGCCAAGCTGGGCATTCAGGTAGAAACAAAGTAAGGGGGATCTAGGGAGACAGGAGGCAGGAGAAAGGAAGGCGGAGATGCACACTTTATTCTAAAAATACAAATTAACATCCATTCATGACTTAATGGAGAAAGCGTGGGTCACATGCAAAGCAGTGTCGTCCGGTGGTTACTGTGACCACACTGCAGGTTGTTTTCTAGGCGCTCTCTATCCTGATAACACTACAGGCCCACAAAAGGAAGATGACCGGCTAGAACCAGGGGCAGGGTATACTTACCGGTGGTTTGCAGAAGAAACTCAGGGGCCTTGTCCCAATGACAGTAACTGCATGACACGGATGTACCACTCCCATGTAGAAACTCTAAAAGATGTGGCTTCAGGACTTCTTGGACCAATTCTGACTTGTAAAAGAGGTTACATTGTAAAAATCTCATTGTAGCAATAGAGCCAACCGGGATACGTGGGGTCTCCCTCGCTCTTCCAGTGGAATTTTGCTATCAAATGACCTCTCTTTGCCTGGCTTGACCTTGATTCTCCAGTCAAGAAAGTAACGTTGCCACTGGAACTCTGAGCTCTAGATGGCAATCTTGAGTCCAATGCCTCCATTCAAGTCCAGGAGTGCAGGTTGGACACTAGATGGTAGTCAAACCCAGTAATCGTCACCTTAGCCACCTTCACACAAAACTCTGTCACCCTTCTACAGAGAAGTGTTGAAACCACAGCATGGGAGGAAACAGGGAGATGAGAGGCTGTCTGCCTGTTCCTTGCATGCTCAGTTCCTTAGGTTTCTGTCTGTGGAGGTGCAAGATTTTCCTTTTACATTTTGAGTGGAATCAGTTAGAATCACCAGTTTATTTCATAGCAAAAAGAATTTCTGCAAAGAGGAAGTTTTGCTGTTTTGTTTCAGGAACCCTGGATAGAGACATGGAAAAAAATATCCACGAGTCTTACGTTCTGATGTTTTCTATAACTGGAAAACCGTAGCTGGTATATGAATGACAATATTAATATATATACTGAATCTGGCCAAGTTAATACTAGAGTTTCTAGCTTCTGGGAGAGAAATCTCATGTGCTGTAAGATTATAAAGAACTTTCTCATTCATTATATCCTATAATTCTAACTTCTATGATTCTATTTCCCTATGTTTGAGTTGGTTTAAATGAGTTTTTATTTCCCAGTTTTTTACCCCAGGTATGCTGGTTGATAGGCAAGCCATCTAGTAAATTCTCTCGGTTTCCAAAGTCTCATAGCAAGTAAAGTTAAACAGATGCATTTGTTTCTAACATCTGATATTGATCAAAATTAGGTGGTGACAGCAGAGCAAAGATGTAATTTTAAGGTAATAAAATATTATAGAAGAACAAAGACATAACTGACCAGATATCTTATGGAAATGTGTTTCTATGTAGAACCTTTCAGAAAAGATGCTCCTGTTATCTCAGTCACCTTTGTCCTTGTTTTCTCCTTCCATGGACTTAGCTTCTTTCTATTCTTTTCCCCTTTTCACTGTTTCCCACTTTTTAGCTTACTTTTCCTCCTCTTGCCTCTAACTTTGTGTGCTCCTCAGCTTTAATCAGAAACAATGCTTATGGCCTCTTTTTTGGGAAAACAAATCAAGTCCTGTCGTAGATTATGCATGAGAACAATGATGATACTGCCAGGCTTATGTGACGAGAAAATGCATAGAATGTGTACCATGTGGCCTTGATCTAACATGCTTGATAGGTTAATTTATATCTGTTTTCAGCAATAAATGGATACATGTATGGGAATCTGCCCAATCTCACCATGTGTGCAGAGGACAGGGTCAAGTAGTATTTTATTGGCATGGGAGGTGTGTTGGACACACACTCCATCTTTACCCATGGACAAACTCTGATCTCTCGGAATCACAGAAAAGACACCGTTACTGTCTTCCCTGCCTCAATGCGAGATGCCTTCTTGGTGGCCAAGGGTGCTGGAGAGTGGATGCTGGGCTGTCAGATACATGGTAGGGATTTATTCCTTTTACATAATACAGGGTCAGGGGACTCCCAGGGTTACGACCCATTACAAATGCATCATCTTTCAAATGGGGGAAACTGCCATTGGGGAGGTTATAAGATGGCCTTTTGGAAAGTCAGTGACACAGTTAGGACTAGAACCCACGTCTCTGACACCTTTAACTTTATGGTAATAAACACTTTTAGGTATATAGGGATTATTTTTATTGTTGTTTTTATAAAAAGAAGTTTATATTCATTAGCTGGTAAACCTTACAAGAAAACCCTGAGTGTCAGACAGAGCATGTATTATTACACCTTTTTAAAATTATTTTTTATTTATTTATTTTATTTTTTTTGCGGTACGCGGGCCTCTCACTGCCATGGCCTCTCCCGCTGCGGAGCACAGGCTCCGGACGTGCAGGCTCAGTGGCCGTGGCTCAGGGGCCCAGCCGCTCTGCGGCATGTGGGATCTTCCTGGACCGGGGCACGAACCCGCATTCCCTGCATCGGCAGGCAGACTCTTAACCACTGTGCCACCAGGGAAGCCCAGAGATCTGTATCTTTAAACAACCACCAGGGAAGCCCACACCTTTTTTTTAAATTGAGAAAACAAGTTCCAAGAGGTTAAAACACTTACCCAAAACCCTATGAGAGCCAGGAATTATGTAGGACAAAGTAATTCTAATCCAGTACCCAGTAAACCTACTTATTTTAGTTTATTTCCCTGTTCAATCACACTTCACATTTAATGATAGGAAGGCCTGTTATGAAGTTATTGATCTTCTCTATTCTTAAATATGACTAAATTCTACATATAATCATGTAAATGTTTTGTTTTATTTCTCAATCAGTAAACATGATTGTTACTAGAACTGAAGAATTTTTTTCTTTTTTTTTTTTTTGTACAAAAATGGGGTTTACTGGGCTTCCCTGGTGGCGCAGTGGTTGAGAGTCCGCCTGCCGATGCAGGGGACACGGGTACATGCCCCGGTCCGGGGAGATCCCACATGCCGCGGAGGGGCTGGGCCCGTGAGCCATGGCCGCTGAGCCTGCGCGTCCGGAGCCTGTGCTCCGCAACGGGAGAGGCCACAACGGTGAGAGGCCCGCGTACCACAAAAAAAAAAAAAAAAAAAAAAATGGGGTTTACTTCTCTGAGAAAAACCTTTCTTTTTTCTAAGTCCCATACGTTGGTTAGCATCATACTTCAATTAATTATTTAAACAACTAAACAACAAGTATTTATTGGGATTTCCTAAGTGCTGTGTCCCTCCCAGAGTTGTGAGAAAAAGGAGACCCGCACACAGCTATAATAACTCGACAGAGTTTAATGATAAAAAGGTTCTCACTTAGAAAGGAATATTGTTTTAACATACGTTTTAAAGGTTAAAAGGTACACTCAGCCCCACTCCTCCTATTTACCTCGTTTACAGATCTTGCCTTTAAATCAGGTCTTTCCTCCTCAACTCTGCAGAAAAATACAGGGTCAGCCTAGGCTCAGTTGCGAAAGCTTCTGAAAGTTGTTTGGCTGATGGACCCCATAGCCTTCCCCTGTGTTTCTTCTCTTCCTGTGACCTACAGTTTTGGGTGTTTTTGTTTGTTTTTGGTTTTTTGTTTTGTTTTGTTTTTAGGAATTACAAGAATACATGAATAGACTTGTTGGAAAGAAAGGAAGAAAAGAAAGAGGAAGGAGCCAGCGCAGGGGGCAGCGAAGGAGGGAGAGAGAATTTGGTGGCGGCAGCAGACAGAAAGAGTGAAAGTCTAATATGGTATCTGGGAGCCACCTCGTAGGACCTCCAGAGAGTTGAGAATTAAAAAAGCCAGCTGATAAACTTGTGGTAGCTTCAAATTGGCCAAGGGGGTGTGTTTACACTACCAAAATTAGCAAAAAAAGAAAAAGAAGAATCAGATTTTGTGTTCACCTTTGGAGAAATGGTTTAAGAATAGACCGTTAGTCTAACCCTACCCCACTACCATCCCAGTTCCCTCTCCAGAGAATAATCCCTGTAAGCAAGTTTGCGTGAATACCTGTAAACCTGTTTACCATGCATTTTCATACAATATATATGAACATGTAGAAATAAAAAATGCACAGCTGTTGTTTTGTGTTTTGTTCTACATAAGTAGATCACACTGCATATAAGTTTTATGTAATTATATAACTTTAAAAAATAGGCTATTATTTTTATATAATAGGTTTTTCTTTATTCTGCTGCTTGCTTTCTTCACTCATCCACATGTCTTGAAATCTTTTCCATGATATTCCCTATACCTCTAACTTACTCTTTTAAGCAGTTGTATAGTTTTCCATATTTGAGACATAGCCTAATTTATTTAACCATTTGCCTACTGATAGATATTTAAATAGCTTTCACCTTCTTGGTTCACTAACTGTTATAGCTAACCCCTTTTTATGTCTATCTTTTTATGTATGTGCAAATATGTGTCTTGCTTAACTATGAAGAAGTGAAATTTTTTAATGGAAGGGTTTTTAATTTTAACAAATGCTGCCTAATTGCCTTCCAAAACGTCTGTGTTAATTTACTCTCCCATCAATGTCACTCTAAAATCAAAACACAGGACTGATGCCCTCATGGAAATGTACCTGCCTTGATTTTCTTCCTGCCTGCCAACTAGTTAATCTAATAAACCAACTAACTCATTAGTAATTAATGGTAACAATTTCAGACCCATAAGGGAAAATACTTTTGGCTAAACAGACTCTCGAATTCCTCTTGGTAGGCAGGTGCCGTAGTCATGTAGGAGCTGTTCCAATGCTTGTTATTATTCTCCACTAATATGTGTTCCTCTAACATTCATCTTGGCCTCCTGAGTTTTATACTTGCTTCATACATTTCAGGTTTTTACACAGATTCCATAAAGAAAATACCTCAAATTTCTCAAAGGAAGGGGAAGTTGCAATGTTGTTGGCTACAATTTTTAAAATACATATGGACTAAGAAAAATGTTTTAATATTTTCATAACATTCTCTACTTGGGTTTACTGTTTTTCAGAGGGTATGCAGACCTTCTTCAATGTAAGGAGTTGCCAAAATCCTTCAACAGATGTTATTGGGACACAAGTTTTACTTTATTATATTGCTGCTGATGAAATTTTTTGGAACTCTGCTCCATCTGGTAGAGATTTCTTCACTGGAAATAATTTAGCAGCAGCTGGAAGGTAATGATTCAGCAATTAAAATATTTATAGTTAAATAAAGATAATTGGACTTTTTCATAACCTAACTACTCCTGAAAAGATTTAGGTATCTATAATAAAAAGATACCGATAACATAAAGGTAGGAAAATAATTATAACAATTATTGGAAAATATTCAGCCTAAGGATCATTGCTACACAAAGTTTTTCTCTAAAAGCCTTGGAAGTCACTGCCAAGAAAAACATACTGCTTATCTTTTTCTTAGAGCTAAATTTTAAAAGGGATTTATTTTATAATTATGAGATATTTAACAGCACAGTGGATGGTGTTATCAGCTGTGTTGTTAAATATCTCATAATTATAAAATAATTTTTGTAAAATAGCAAGAGCAATTTTACAAAAATTCAAAAATATTCCTCATGTGTAATTGGTACTTTCCTGCTAAGACCTGAGGATATAATTAATAATTTCTTAGGACATCCTTAAATAATTTTATATAAATATTTTTTACTCAATAACACCTAAGGATATATTACCAACTTTAATAACCAAAAACTAAGACTAAAATACATTACTGTGACATTGGCATTTAAAAGCGCACAAAAAGTTTTTCTGATGGCCCATCTGCTAAATATATTTACCAGTTTGAAGATTACAGGCGTTTTAATTCTTTTGGTCTATTGAATGAAAGTTTTATGTCAGAAAATATCAAGTTCTATAACCACCAAAAAATAATGTTTCCCATAGTACTTTTTTTCTAATTTACTCGCAGAAAATTTAAGAAAACTAAGAATGTTATATCAGGCAAATATTTTCTCTTCTTACATTTTAAGCTCATCAGTAAATTCAATCTATGTAGTGGAAATTTTGTATTAATTGTGAAAAGGCTATCTGGGCGTAGAGCAAAAATTAGATTCAACTCTCATTTTATATTGACTAAAATAAGTATGAATTAATAGATTCTTTTGGCTTGCATGATTCTCCTGACTATGAAATTTGGTGATGTCTCAGCATTGCAAGCCATCACTTCTTACTAGGGAACACTTTTTCTCAGGGGACTCCATTTTGTGTTACTATAATAGAATTAAAAAGTCAAGAATGACATCTCTCATCTCAATACTATAGCATCTCAGCACAGTTGTTTTAAAAGCAATGTTGGTTACTACCTGCCTTAAAAAAAAACCAGACAAGTGTTTTTAAAATTTTATTCCAAAAGAAGATGTGTAGATAAACTAGTAGGTAGTATACAGACAGACACTTGTATACACATGTATAGACAAAAGACTGAAAAAATATCCATGGAAAATGTTGACAGTGGTTATATAGAGATGGTGGGATTATGAAGATTTTAACTTTCTTTGTCATATTTTTCTTTATTTTCCAAATTTTCTACAATGAGTATGCATTGTTTTTATAAATAAATTACAAGTACTTTAAAACAGATGCATGTAGGTTCTTGCTTTCTTTTCACATGATCACTGTAAATTTAAATGTTCTTTGTGTATCTACTTTCTCTGTACAGTGAATCCCGGCTCTATTTTGAACAAGGCCCAAACAGAACTGGAGGAATTTACAAAAAACTAATTTACTTTGAATGCACAGATGCTTCCTTCCAAACACAGAAGGCAAAAGCAAATCACCTCGAACTCCTTGGTAAAATTATTTCATAGCTTGTGGGGTTATAAACGCCATTTATACATATTCTGTACCATCAAAAGAATATTCACCAGTTTACAGTTTTAGAGATTTTATCTCTCATCACTGACTGTAGCCCTGAGAAGATGGATGTTCGTGCTGACAGGGAGAAACTTTTACTTTTCTTGGCTCCTCATCAACCTCTTGGGCTTTGCAACCCCTAGAGGGAGATCTATTCTATCCAGTTCCCAGTGCTTTTGAGTGGGCTCTTATCTTTAGTCACAGCATCATATTTGTTTTCTCTAGGATTCTGGCCAAATGTACTAAGATAAATAACCAAATAGGACCCTCTAGATTCCTTTATTATTTATACAAAAAAAAACACCCTTTTTAGCAAAGGAAAAACAAGCATAGTGTTTGAGAAGGTAGAATTGCCATGGGGGGCAAAGAGTCACTTTACTTCACTAGCATCTAATGTCCACAAAGTCTCTTCAAGGCTCTGATTTTAGTAATTATAGCACAAGTTTAAGGAGAGTTCTTTCTGCTTAGTTCATCTCTGTTTCAGAATTTTT